AAAAAAAAAAGAGAATCCCATGAAAACAGAAACTTAAAAAGAAAATCTAAGGGGCTGGAGAGACGGCTCAGCAGTTAGGGGCTGCTGAGTTGCTCGTGCAGAGGACCTGGGTTCGGTTCCCAGCACCCGCACAGCTGCCTGTAACTCTAGTCTAGATGATCTGAGGCCTCTTCTGACCTCCGCCAGCACCAGGAACACACACGGCGCACATACTTACATGCACATAAAATAAAACAAACACAACTACAAAGGAAAGTTGATTTTTAAATCTAAGAAAGTGACGCACCAATCAGCCAGACAGCAATGTAAACCTGGCCCCGCCTCTGAGCCGCCACAGGTGAATGGGTTTATAATGGCAGCACCAGCCCTGCATCTGTGAGTCTGTGAACAGACTCAGCCCTCAGTCCTCCCAACAAAGTCTCAATTTTATGTGGGGTGGTGGCCAGGGGTGAGTGGGAACCTGGGCAGCTGCTTTTCCAAACCTGTCTCACTTAATGAAACAAGTTACTCTTGGATACAACACAGGAAGAAACATCCTCTGGTCCTTCTTAAGAAGCAGAACTAAATTCTCTACACTTCAGCAGGCACCCAGGGAGGCAGTCCTGAGCAGGCTGCCTACCTAGGAGTCACATTCGGAATGGATGACTGGAAAGGAAGATCTCATCCTGAGGTCAGTCAACACAGCCCTTGGGCCAACTGGAACCTGCAGCTAAAAGTGACTAAAAAGTTTATAAAGGCTTGTAAAAACAGAAGTCAAGATATGTGCTAGAGGGCTCAAGAGATGGCTAAGATGGGCTGCTCTTGTAGAGGACCGGGGTTCAATTCCTAGCACCCACATGATGGTTCATAACTATCTGCAACTCCAGTTCCACGAGATCAGACGCCTCTTCTGGTTTCCACGGGCATGTGTGTGGCGACACAGACACACTTAAAGGCAAACCACTCGTACACATAAAAGAATAGTAATAACGAGAGAGAGACTCCATGACAGCAGTCATATGTGGGGTCCGCCCCAGCAGGACGGGATGGTTTCCAGAGAAGGCAACAGTGAGGATGATCCAGTGCAGTCTCACCTACGAGGGACTCTAGAGTTCGGCAGGAACTGGTCTCTCATTTTCACGATCTACATGCTTGCCCAAGGGGGCGAAAGATGATTGCTTTTCCCATGATAAAAATATCTGACAAGGCTAACTTGAGTTTTCTAAAACTGGATACATTTAAAATTAAAATATTTGCACCAGATGGAAAACAGGAACTGGAGAAAGAAAGAAAGAAAGAAAGAGAGAGAGAGGGAGGGAGGGAGGGAGGGAGGGAGGGAGGGAGGGAATAAATCCTCTCTCAGATACTGCTCAATTCCCAATGCTCTGAGCGGTAAGGGGCGTAGTCTTACCAGTTTGTAGCAAACAGCAAAAGCAAGGATGTAGGTGTCTTTGCTGAACTTCACATCTTGGTTTTTCATTTCAATCAGTACTTCCAGGGCACCTGCCAAAAGTGAAGCGTGACCGGCAGGGTTAAAGGCACCTATGGGCAGTTCCCAAAATTCTAATCAGTTCAGCATCACCTACCAAAAAGCAGATTTTAGCATGATAAAGGCCACTCCTTGAAGTCAAATAGCAATTATATAAATTAAATCATCAGGTCCTGTAGGAAGAATGCTTGGAAAACTGCTAAGGTTTTAGAAACCTGAGGTGGCTCATTTCAGCCATCATATACAATTTGATCCTTTCAAATTTAAGAAGTGAGTTCACCATGCGGCTCCTCAACAGGATGCTAAGGGTCACTTTTATGGTCCTTCCCACCCCAGCTGCTTTTCAAGTAGAGTTTTTCCACAACCGCAGACTCTAGTACTTACTTTCATATTTGCCTTTGGAAAATAGCATATCCATCAAAATATTGAATGACGTTGAGTCTAGGAAGAAACCTCGTAAACGCTAGTGAGGAGAAACAATATAGTTTGGTCAGAAGTTAAAACTATTAAGGGGATGCCACATACTGTTTCCCTTTTTTCTTTTTCTTTTCTTTTCTTTGAGACCAGGTCTCACTAGGCAGCATTGCCTGTCCTGTAACTCACTATGTAGACTACAGGATGGCGTCATAGAGACCCACCTACCTCTGCCTCCTGTGTGTGTGCTGGGATTAAAGGCGTGCACCACTACACAGGACCTGGATATTTACAGCAGTGGTTCTCTACCTTCCTAATGCTTCTTCATGTTGTGGTGAGACGCAACCATCAAATTATTTCATTGCTACTTCATAACTGTAATTTTGCTACTGTTACGAACTGTAATGCAAACATCCGTGTTTTCTGATGGTCTTAAGCGACCCTTGTGAAAGGGTCATTCGACCGACAGAGTCGTGACCACAGGTTGAGAATCTGCTCTACAGGTTTCTATTTGTGGTTCCCTGAACTCCCTAGTCCTTTGGTATACCAAGGATTTTTCAAAGCTTCGCTTTTAAACGCTGTTCTAGCTTTGGGAACGGACGGACACTCTGGGTGTCGTGAGCAGTGCAGAATGAGGAGAGGGCCGTGAACCCGGCACCAAGTGCTATCGAATGGTGGCGGCAAGGTGATTATCAAATGAAGGCAAGAACGTCTCACGGGACTACAGTCGTCACACCAGGTAACAGAGTCACTCACTCTGACAATCCGCTGCTAAAAAAGTGGATCTCAACATCGTTGTTGACTTATATTTAGTTTAATTGACAAAAACATCTGTGTACTTATCCCATTATATTTGGTTTTAAAATACATTAGCAGAACAGCTAGGTCAGGTAACATGCACTACGTCATGTACAAACTTAAGAGCTATTCTCTTCCCTTTTCTTTGGTTTTTTGAGACAGGGTTTCTCTGTGTAGTTTTGGAGCCTGTCCTGGATCTCGCTCTGTAGACCAGGCTGGCCTCGAACTCACAGAGATCCGCCTGGCTCAGCCTCCCGAGTGCTGGGATTAAAGGCGAGCGCCACCACCGCCCGGCTTCTTCCTGACTTCTAAACATGACCACCATGTTTTACAACAGTTCAATTCTTTTCCGTCAACTGTATAACCTTTGACCAGTATCCCTCTTTCTGACATCTTCCCAGTATCGTGGATGCCATAACGTGACATGATATTTAAATGTCATGAGTGTTTTCTCCTTTGTTCTCTCTTGAGCGCCTACCATGTAGATCCCAGCTGCTGAGACTAAGGAATGAAAAACCAGACAACAGAGTCTGCTCCAAACGCAGGCTGGGTTTTAGTCTAGAGAGCTGAGGTACCAGCTGGGGAGAAGGTGAACAAGAAGGTAAGAGGGGTGAAGAAGACAGGAGCAGAGCCACAGTCTCAGTCACCACCAGGGACACAGAGAACAATGACAACAAGGTGACAGTGGGGACCAAACACCGTCGCAGGAGCATCCGAGGCCTCGGTTCTCACTCAGGTCACTCCACCTCCAGTACATGTGGGATTTCACACACAAGGTTTAAAAAATTACTTCCGTTTTGCTTCTACTGTCACATCATGACTTGGAACAATGGAACTTTTTATTCCCTGAGTGTAACATTAAAATATTTATTTAAAATACTAAAACACGAATTACATGAAAAAGTGTGGTTTTAATAATTCAAACCCTAAAGACATCATTTACCTTGCAGATTTTAATATACACATACAGGAATGTCATCTTGTGTATGTGTAGGTATGGGTGCACATACATGCCAGTGTATGTGAAGGCCAAAGAACAATCTTGGATATCATTTTTTCGTTACTGTTCACCTCTTTTTTGTTGTTGGGTTTTTTTTTGGGGGGGGGGGGTAGAAGGAGGATTTATTTATTTATATTTATATTTATTTATTTATTTATTTATGGTTTCTCAAGACAGGTTTCTCTGTGTAAGTCCATTCATTCATTCATTCATTCATTCATTCATTCATTCATTCATTCATTCATTCATGGTTTCTCAAGACAGGTTTCTCTGTGTAACAGTCCTGGCTGTTTTGGAACTCACCGTGTAGACCAAGCTGGCCTCGAACTTCCTGAGATCTGTCTGCTTCGGCCTCCCAAGTGCTGGGATTAAAGGTGTGCACCACTGCCGCCACCAGGCCACCTCTTTTGTTTTTAAGGCAGAGTCTCTCACTGGCTTGTAACTCACAAGTGGGCTAGGCTGGTTGGCCAATGAACCCCAAGAATTCACAAGTCTCTACTTCCCTGGTGTTGGGATTCTAAGTACATGCTGCCATGCTGGGCTTTTTAAGAATATGGGTTCTGGGGAGCAAACTCAGGTTCCTTTCAAGCACTTATCCACTGAGCATGTCCCGAGCTCTTGTGTGTGTTTCTTTCTTTCTCGTTTTTTTAAGTTGAAGACAAGATCAAATGTTGGAAGTGCTGTGACCATCTTCCTAGTGCACGGTGTTCTTAGGGAAGGTAACCCTGATGTCAGGCATGGTGGTACACAGCTGTAGTGCACATACCATTCAGGAGGCTGAGGCACGAGGGTTGCGAGCTTGAGGCTAGCCTGGGTTACTTGTCTCAGATAAAAAGGTCAAGCCTAGGGCTAGTTCCATCAGTACAGAACACACTAAGTGAAAAAGAGTAGGAGGCAACACCAGACCACTTCACTCTGGAGTTCCTAAATATACTAACTTGCACATGGTGGACCCAATTGAGAGTCTCTGGCCATGGATGAATTGCTAATGCCGCTAATGCAGTTTCAGCTTCTGTGAGGCAGAAATGATAATCATACCTGTGACTAGGCCATTGTGGGAATAATGATTACATAATAATAGTAAGAACAACTGTGGGAAAGGCTGAAGATACAGTAAGTATTCAGTAAGTAACTAACAATGTTTTTACAATTTATTTATTATCATTTGTATGCGTGTGAGTGCATGTGCCATGGTGCTTGCATGGAGGTCAGAGGACAGCTGTGTGGACCTGATTCTCCCCCTCCACATCTGCACGGGTTCCACAGATTGAACTCAGGTCACTGGGCTTGCATGCAAAGCACCTGTATCTACTGAGTTATCTTACTGATGTGCAAAATTATGTTGTATTTTAGAAAAAGAAAACCAGAATGTGTAAGAGCATTTTAAAACTTGGCCAGTTTTATAAATAATACAGTCTTCAACCAAAAATAAAAAACAAAAAACAAGAGAGAATGCAGGTGCAGGATAGGAAATCAATGGCTGGTCTTCAACTATTTGCCTCTGAACTCTGGAGACAGGATCTATGTCCTAGGTCACCACACACACAAGGTAGCCTCTGTACTATGCTATGCCTCCCAAGACACCTGGAAGTCTCCTTGTGAGCCAACCCTAAGGAAAGATTTGAAAAGCAGAGAGCTTCTTTATTCAACTCAGTGGTCTTTCCCTCAAAGTCTTAACCAGGAAATAATACACCATAGAAAAGACGTCTTTTCTAACAGCACCAAGAACACCAGAACACATTGGCGGGGGAAGGAACTGGAAAACACTAACCTTGTCTTTGATGAGCTCCACTGCAGAGTCCTCAAGATCCAACTCATAGCAAAGCCTCATGAAAACTGGTCCAAACTTATATTCCCCCACAGTGAAATTCCTGTTTTCTGTATGGTACCTGGTAATCAAGATTATTGTATGAGCAAAGACAGGGTATAGCAAAAACAGACACAGGAATGAGTAGAGATCTCAGTTAGCAAGTAGAAGGTCCCAAGTGTGGATCCGCATGTAAAAGGCAGGCTTAGGGCACGCATCTGGAACTCCAATGTTGGGGGGATGGAGACAGGAAGAGTCTCAGCGCTTACTGGACAGCCAGTGTAGCCAATCACTGAGATCCAGGTTCAGTGAAACCTAGTCTTAAAAAACAGGGTTTAGGACAACTGAGGAAGACCTCCAACCATGTGTATGCACTCACATATGCACATGTATACGGACATGAACATATGTACACCCCACACGTACAACACACCCACAAGGATGGACACAAACCATAGTGTGCATTCTGCTAGGTGCTGGGGACACAGTAAAGAATAAGGAATTCCTAGTTTGGGAGAAACAGGGATCTGAATAAAATCAGGAATTCCAGAGTTTAATAATATACTGGGCATCGAAACAAAGAGTTTTGTTCGAAGCCAAAAATACTCTGAAAATTAAAAGTAAACACACATTGTAATCATCCCCTAAATTAAGCAACTACCTGCTGGGCTGAGAATAATAATAATAATGATATATTATAATATAATAATAATAAGCATATTACAGAACAGCAGGGTCTCCTTAGAATGGGCTCCACCTACAGAACAGAGGAAAGGCCCTTGGACATGCTCTGTGCCCATGTACACTGTCACACAACCAATAAGCACAGTGTAACTTATATCAACTTCTGCTTTTCTAAACTCAGATAAAGGCCTACATGAGCTATGGCCACCTAGGTAAAAAAAAATTAAACACACTTTGAGATTTGAAGTCCTGGGAGAAGGCTAATTTTAATGGCAGTGAGAGCTTACTGTGTGGCGTAAGTTCTAGGGGTGGCCAGTCAGTCATCGGAAACCGACCAACACAAACTACTTTCCGTAACCAGCCAAGGTTGCTGCAGGCACTTAAGATGACAATCTGGTGGCCAAGGGAACACCTCAGGATCACATACCCGTCAGATTTTCATCATGTCAATGACTTTAAAACACTAGTGGACAAAGCTGACTTTACCAGAAAACCTTTCACCTTCTGCCAAAACCACAGAGGAAGGCTGGAGCAACATTAGACAGACATGCTACTATATACAACATGACCTGCTTCACTGCAGTGTGGGAGACATGAGCTCTTAAGGACAAGAAAGTATAGGGATGAAGGACTCTGACTGCTTCTGTATGATGATTCCAGTCTAGCTCTTCTACCTATAAACTACATGACTGTAGGAAAATCAATTAATCATTTGGAGCATCAGTTCCTCATCTGTGAAGTGGGGATGAGAACTCAAGGAATCTGGGAGAACCAGATGGGTTTTGCTTGGCACATGACAATTCTTTAATGGTAGTTATTATAAAATGTGAGGCATCTTCGAAATCTATACATGTCAGTAAATGAGGAACTAGTGCCAGATTAAAACCAGGAAGCAAAAGCTTCAAGTTAACACCAATAAAAGGGAGGATCTAAAATGTCCCCATAAACTAACCGGCACTGGAGCAAGATTATGATGGGGATTAAGTCACTCCCACTGTGGCTCCATAAAGATGAGCTTCCGGTTCAGCCCATGCCTGCCTTTCCCAGCCGTGGGCTGCAGGTCTCAGGAAGACAGTGATCTTAGATCACAGATGCACCAACCTGCCCAGCTGTTCACAAAAGTGGCAAAGAAAAGCACCTGGGTTGTGCCATGAGCATCAGTGAAGAGCTACGAGGCACACTTGGATGCGTATGATGAATATAAAGGCAAAGTGTTCAGAATTTTTGTCCTGCTGTGTTATTCCTGGGTATCTCCTGGCTTAGGGGACTAATAGGAAAAAATTTTAAGAGAAAAACAGCCAGAGTCAATGACAATGTCCAGTTAGTTCTGATGACAGGATCTGAAGGTTTATTGGTAGGCTGTGTAGTAGATTGAATTTGGTTTGTTTCTCAAGAGTTTGTGTAATGCAAGTTTGTTTCTCAATGTGGAATCTAATGGGATGTCCTTAGACGGACTGAGGATATTGCTCTCAGAAAGGATTAGGTATTTTCATGTGACACTCCCACCTCCAAGTTCTAGAGGAGTTACTGTAAAAACCTGAAGCTGGTCCCACCCAGCTTTATGGCTTCCTACAGTGAGACATGATTGCTTTTTACCAGCGGTGACAGATGCCTGTAATTTCAGCACTCAGGAAACCAAGGCAAGAAAACTGCAATCAAGGCTGGTCCAGCCTGAGCTACATAGCTACATAGCAAAAATTCTGTCTCAAAAAAACCAAACCAAACCAAACCAAACCAAACAAACAAACAAACAAACAAACAAAAACACCCAAACTATATAAAAGAAAACTACCAAAACCATTAAACATTTGCATAAGAATCTGTGAAAAACTATGTAAACATTGGCGAGTAGTTTCTATCATTTCCATCCCTCCTGACATGTACCTGCTGCCTCAGCTATCCAGAAGAGGGGGTCCCTTTCCCTACATCCAACTTTGGTATGGCCAGGAGAAGCTGCACTGCCTATGGTGCTGCTCCAAGGCCTGGCAGCATCCAGTGTCGCATGGGCTGTGCAGCTCACACCAGGCTAATGACCAGTGTGGCGCTAGAGGAGAAAGGGTAAGGACACGTGACGAGCACAGACCCGTCAGAAATCCTGGGAAATCTCAGACCCTCTAGCACAGAGGGGCCCAACCTGTGGGTTGAGACCCCTTTAGGGGGGGTCAAATGACTTTTTCACAGGTGTCGCTTGGGACCATTGGAAAACACAGATATTTGCATTATGATCCGTTACAGCAGCAAAATTACAGTTATGAAGTAGCAAAGAAAATAATGTAATGGCTGGGGGGGGGGGGGGGTGCAGGTCACCACAACATGAGGAACTGTATTAAAGGGTCACAGCATTGGGAAGATTGAGAACCACTGCTCTTGAGCTTCCTTTCTGACAAAGGAAGTCTCTAGAAATATCTACAAAAAGATGCAGGAGGCAGAAAGATGGGCGAGGAGGCCACGGGTAACAGAGAGAGAGGAAGCAAGCAACAGCCTTTGTCTCCTACCCAGGAAAAGAGGCTCCAAAACCTGCCCTGTGTGACTGGGGGCTGTCAGGAGCACAGGGGTATGCTGGGGGACGGGTAAGTGGAGGTACTGGCCAGTCTGCTGGTAGTTTATGAGCTGCTTCCCTACGCTTGGCCCCTGAAGAAGTATCAACGTCCGAGGCTGAAGGCGGGCGTTAGGGTAAGATAACTGGACGTCATGCGTGTAGAGGTGACAGCTTAAGTCTTGGAGGTGGAGGAGACAACTCTGGGAAGGGCGGAGTGGGAAGACGTGAAGGCTGGCAGGGTTCTCAGGAAAGGCCTCACCTATAAATGACACTTCTCGCCAGTTCCACATCCTCCCGGGATTGACACAGGTGAAGCAGTGTTTTTAACTCCTCCTTCAAGATGAGTTTGTTCTGCGTCAGTTTCTCCTCCAAGTTTCGGAAATAGATCTCTGAAAGACAGCACAACATGGCGGCGATCACTCAGGATGGTTGGGATGGGAAAGAGGCTGCCCTCAGGGAGGAGCAGCTCACCACAGCTCACTGCCAAGAGGTACTGAGAGAACCTCTCCTGTCAGAGCTTCCCTTACTGGGGAAGCAATGGCATTAGCAACCTCACCTTCATCCTATGCCTGCTGGACCTAAACAGTTCAGTTTTAGATTTCTAAGCAATTTCGCATCTGAAAGATTCCAAGGCAATGGTTTTGCATTCTGCACCTCTTAAATGTTAATAAACCCAGTAAATCTAAAACATTAAAAAACGTAAATTGGACTTAAATAGTTGGACTTTCATGTATTTACCATATAGTCACAATCAGAGCAATGTGTCTCTCACACAAAGTTCTGGCTCCTCTACGGAGCTTAAAGTCTACCAGGAAGATCGGCTGTTGTTAATCCAGAGCATGTGAACGATACAAACACAGTACATAAAGCCTCACTTTGACGTCTATTGTAATGTAAGCAGCAGAACACACAAGTTTCATGGAAGTGGAGCAGCAGCAATGAACTCTCTTACGGAAAAGTCTGTACAAAGTGCGGTATGTAAGAGAATGTCATTGTGGGCCCCTGAAAAGGCGGAAATGGGTGAGGATTATATAACTATCAGTCCGACATGAGTAGACAGGCACTGACTTTTAGATTGTACTTCAGAACATGTTGACAGCCGTCGCGGCTTTATGAAGACCATGACAATTAGACATAACAATCAGGCCACAGCAGGGAGCCTTCCTAACTGCAAACCTCACGTAGCTCAAAAATACTCAAGATGAACAGGAAAGTCTGGGGACTGGAGCTGGCTGAGCAGTTAGGAGCACTGACTGTCCTTGCAGAGGACTCAGGATCAGTGCCTAGGATCTCCACGACAGCTAACAACTGCTCTAACTTCACTTTCAGAGGGCTCAATACACTCTTCTGCTCTCTGTGAGCCGTACATCCAGGCAAAACACCCACATACATGAAACAAAACTAAATAAATCTTTAAAGAGCTATAAAAGAAGGGAAAAGGAGACACTTCAGTGAACGCATATTGAGTATTCAGCTGGAGATAAAAGCATTCTCCCCAACTGTTACGAAGGCTTCCTTCCCTCTGAATTCCACCGTGGCATCACGATTGGGAGAGCAGTGAGGGGAGAGTGGGATGGGAGAGACGCAGGCGCTAAGGGACGTCAGCGGCTCAACAGTATCTGGCAGTGAGAGGAAAGAGAGCTGGGTCTACATCCGAAGAAGTCAACGGGATTGATTTCAGTGGGTCACAAAACAACACAAACAGACATGACCGTGAGAGAGGATTTGGAAGGGGTGGTGGGGAAGTGGAGGGTGACAGTGGTCAGCATGTGTCATGGACATATGTGAAACTGTCTTCTAAGAACACATTTAATTATAACAAGTCAAGAGTGACAAACAAGAGTTGTTTTAAAGTCAGAACAACAACGAGGAAAAGCCAGAAAGAAGTCTTAGACATGCCTATAAAGGAGTCTGATGTTCTAAAAAAAATTCTACCTGTAGGACAGAGTGAATGAATGCAACAAGACTGCCAAGGTGCTAAAGGCATTGGCGCCTAACGGATTGGTGTTCTCATGGTTTTAGTGCTTCTTAAAATTTAAAAATATTTAAATTATATGCATATATGTGTGTCTCGGTGTGGGTTTGTGCATGTTTCTGCCTACAAAGACCAGAAGAGGACATTGGACCACCCGAAGCTAGGGTTCTAGGCAGATGTGAGCCACCCCATGTGGGTGATAGAAACCAACCTCAGGTTTTCTGGAACAGCAGCAAACACTCTGAACTCCTGAACTACCTTTCAAAAGTAGGGAAAAAAAAAAATCTAATGACCGTCGAGTGCCAACCAGCCTCAACAAACACCAAGTTTGTTAATGTTGATTCTTCTATATACTCTAAACACAAGGGAGTTTTCAAAGTAAATCCTAGATTCTACAGTGTAAAAATGCCAAAATGCACTATCACACCACGGTCTCATCTACCTACAAGTATATCATAAAGCCTATGTTTCACCAAAATTTAATCAACATTTGAAAGCCAGTCACCTGGATTCTTGAACTATATAGTGTATACAAATCCTCTGCTGCCTTTCCATTCGCATCTCCATCGATCTCCCAATTGATGCTGGTCCTCAAATCATATTCTGAGTGGCACAGATCGAGATGACTGGTCATGGGGCTAATTGCACTATTTCCCTGGGGTCCGGGGGCGGGGCTAAGGGAAGAGTTGTAGACTTTGAGTAGCAGAGTGTGAGATGAAAGGTAGACTAGGAAACTAAGCGACTGTTCACTTTGTTTTTCTCTATGAGACAGGTCTTGAAAGACTAGAGACAAAGGAAGTTTGAATGACAAATGGATGAAAGAATTAATGAAACGCATACCATTACCTTTGGTGCCGGGAAGGTTATATGCAATAGCCACCTTCTTCTGTTGGAATTCCTTCAATTTCACAATGCTGTCTGTGAGTAGGTATCTTTTAGCTAAAGAACAGATAAAGAAAATAAGTGAAATTATTTGGATTGCTTTTTTTTCCCTAGCAAATAACATGTTAGAGCTTGGTTGCCTCTAATGAACTCATCTTCACTTATTACATTAATAAATGATCCATCCAGATAGATACAAATATTGTAGTATCCCTGGTAGGGAAACAAACATTCCTACAAACCAGTCTACTACGGAATGCAAGTCTTGGCAAAAGTCTTACGTTTGAAAGTAGGTAATGGTTAATGAAGTGTGAAGACTGGTTGACACGATGGGATGTGCAGAACAAATGGGCATTTGCCATCTAAGTGATGGGCTAGTAACTGCATAGACATCACACACACACACACACACACACACACACACACACACACACACACACACACCACATTTGTTTGGTTTATCTTGGTTTGAGAAACATGGGATATTGGAAAAAGCTACATGGTGACTTCCAGTTTTGTAACTTCTGAATTGAAGATAGCCTTTCAGATCTGCACTCATAAGCCTTAAATCAGAAATCACTGACTACAACTTAGCAAGTCTGGAATGTATCCTTCTTCAGCATCTTTGTGCATGAGATAAAACATGCCAAAAAAAATTGTGCACCGAGTTCTGCTAAGACAAAGTAATAATAAAAGTAGCTATAATAGTAATAAATAAAATATAAATAAAATAATAAAAGGGAATCCTGTGAAGCTGCCAGACCCGGGTCTTTTGTTCAAATAGACAAGCTCCTTGTGACCTTGGGCAAGTGACAATCTTGTTTCTTATTACGTAAATGTACTACCCCTGCCATTGGATGCTTACTGAAGGTAAGGATTTCATATATGTAAAATACACCAGAACGTTAAATACTTTTATTACCACTCAGTAGCAGTCTCACGTTTAATATTTTCAGAAAGGCAAAATAACTTGGGGGACGAGGAAGGCTGCCTCGAGTCTTTTAGGATGTAAACAGCACGGCTGGGATACCAAAACCTCGCAGAAAAGGAAACCCAGTGAGTGAGGAATGTTCTCCAAGGGCAACGTGGACGTTTCCGAGTCCAGACCCTAGCTGCCCTTTGCTTTCCAGGCACCAAGTGGAGGCGTTCACGGCCCCCCAGCAAACCGGGCTGCACACACGTGCAGTTCGAGGGAACAGAAAGGTCGCGAGCCTTCTCCAAAGAGAGGCGCCGCCGGGGTCTCACGCTCCCTTCTCTCCCACCCCAACCCCTCCTTCCACCGCGTGAGGCCGCGGGTACCTCCGAGAGGGCAGCGGCCGCAGGCGGAGCCTGAGCTTGTCACCCCGGGATGCAACGAAGGACGCGGCGCCCGCAACCTTTCCAGGGGCCGGAACACCGTAGCCATATTGTCCCGGCCCGGGCCGCACCAACTGCGGGGCCGCCCACTTCCGGCGGAGGCGGGGCTCTGTCCCGCCCTCCTCACCTTCCCCCCCGGCCGGCGTTCCACTTGGTACGTTCAAGATGGCGGCCCCCATGGCGCGGTGTGGGATGCTCCTGGCTCGGAGGATGTCTACGCCTCTCCTTTCCCTGGCAGGTTGGTGGCTGCTGCCTTGGAGGGGCAGCTCCCTTAGGCCCTTCGATATGCTGTTCACTGAATGAAGGCAGCCATAGGCTTTCAAGAAGAGCACAAATGCTTCTGGGATCCGGTTGCTAAGAGAAGCTACAGGTTATTGGTAGCGTAGGAAGGAAAAATAACTCATTTCCTTTAAGGATAGTTATCCGCCAGTGCAAACGTTTTTTTGTTTTTTTGGTTTTTTTTTTTTTGGTTGTTGTTGTTTGTTTTGTTTTCGAGACACTTTCTCTGTGTAGCTCTGCGCCTGTCCTGGAACTCGCTCTGTAGACCAGGCTGGTCTCGAACTCAGAGATCCGCTTGGCACTGCGTCCTGAGTGCTGGGATTAAAGGCGTGCGCCACCACCGCCCGGCACCAGTGCAAAATTATGAAAAGTAGAGGAAGGCTATGGCATGAGAGATTTCTGTACGTCGTGCAGGTTTTAAGCCAGTTCTTTGCTTTCCATGAAACACCCAAATACGTTCACCCCCGGGGCTAGAGTAGTTTTCTTCCACCTGAGATTTCTTTGGAGGGGCATTCCTTACTACCTCGTACTTGATGGTCCGGACCCCCGGTCTTCACCTCGTCGAAGAGTCTTCAGTACTAACCCCACGTTACCCGATGACCTTGGTGACAACTTCTGCCTGGCATTTCCTCTTTACCGTTTTCCGCGTGTAGGTGAACAAGTATTATAGTTCCTCGTAGATCACTTTGATGACTGAGTTGAATCGCACCTACTCGAAGCCTTTTTAGTGGAGCTAATGATGAAAACACGTTTCAAAGTATTTACAGAAACCGAGTTTGCAATGGTTACAACCTCATAATCCTTGAAGATGTGTCGGATTCTAGGAGTAAAATGTACTAACCACAGTTGGATGTTTCCAGGGCTGCTTATCTCCTCTTTCTCAATCAACCTCCCTTAACACCAGCTAAAAAATGCACACTTGCTCACGCTACTTAATGTACTGCCATTTAAGAAGCTTTGTAGTTGGCCTTAAGAGTTTTCTGAAGGTTAAGTGGTTGAACTACCTGGTAAAAATGTTGCATATCACACATTTGGCAAGTTGATACGAACAGTACGTGGCACTAAAGTAAGAATGTTCTGTAGAGCTGCTTACCACATTTAATTATGATTGCTAGTAAATCCTTTGAAATCTAATAAGATCTTATCTAGTAGCTGAAGGAGATCTAGTAGATGTGTTGGTTGCTTATAATGTCTGAGCCAACCATTCTAAGAAGGGAATGGAAATTGCATAGAGCAGCTTGAGAGAATCTTTAATTTAGTAGTTTGATTTCAGTTTAAACTGTTTATACTGGGCCTGTGCTATTCCAACACGGCAGTTGCTAGTACATGTAGCTATTTAAATTTAAGTTGAAGGTACATACAATGAAAAACAGTTTCTCAGTGGCACAAGGTGTTTTAAGTGTTTCAGTGGATCTGTGTAGCTGGAGGCTTTTGTCTTGGACAGCTTAGAACAGAACATTTTCATCACTACAGTGAGTTATATCAGACGAAGGCTCTAGGTGGAGGCTATAGGGAGGCCATGTAAGTACATAGGACTCAAGATTTGGGTGTGTGGATAAATAGTTTGACTTAGAGACATTGAAATGTTTGATCTGGAAAAGTACTCCATATAAATCCGTAACAGATCAGTCAGTATATGCAACACTTTGAGACTTCTACCTAGTCCACTTAAAATACCATGAAAGTACAGCTAAAATGATGAACACGACAGAAGAAAAATGAACTGAGATAGAGCAACAACAACAAAGACAAGTACATGGGAAGGCTGGAGGCAGGAATAGTAGACGTTGAGACGTTAGTGAGTCCTTAACTGCTGAGATAAGTAGTATTCCCTCATTCTGTGTATGATGAAAGAGTCAGGGGCGCTGTGTGATTTGACCAGTTTTTCATAGCATTTATTATTGGCAAGGCAAGGGTTAGAAGTTAAATTGTGACTCTAAAGCTTATCTGTTTCTACAGTAGCATTATTTCCTTTTTTCAACAACAAAAACTGCTTGGAGACATTTGACCAAAGGTCCAGATAATGAGCCAGGCATGGTGGCACACACCTTTAATCTAAGCACCTGCCAGGCAAAGGCAGGTGGATCTCTGAGTTCAAGGCCACCCTGATCTACAAAGTAAGTTCCAGGACAGCCAGGGCTACACAGAGACCCTGTCTCAAAAAAATAAAAACAAACAAATAGTAAAGGCCAAAATAATAATAAAATGTGTAAGGAACAGATATGTTTTTCACAAATTTTGAAGTTCTGGTTCTTAAAAGTATTATAGAATTCAATGGAGAAAACTTTTTTTTTTTTTTAAATTGAGGATACTTAAAGAATATTGTTGCTCAAAAGAAAGTGATCTAAGGATAGTAGGCAAGGAAAATTGTAAGCACTCTGGTATTTTGAGATAGTCTCACTATGTAGGGCAGGTTGGCCTTGAACTTGCAGACACTCCCACCTTTACCTCAGCCTGGCTAGGAAAACATTTTGAATGGCATGTGTAGAGAGGATTGGGCAGGCTGGGACCTAAGCCTGTGGGTCTGAAGTCAGTCTGTCTCTCATTCATTCAAATGTGATCCGAGGACTTTGTCATCACCCCGTTACTCGTGAGATATGCAGACTCTGTCTGCACTCTAGACCTACAGAACTACTGTCTGCATTTTAGTGAGATCCATATGCATACTAAAATTTGAGAGTCAGATCTAGATCTTTCTCTTTGCTTCTGGTTGGCTTCCTTTAATCTTTTGCCCCTGGCTGTAGAAATCCTTTGGTTGTAACATTAATATACAGACCCTCAATGTGCAGTGATGGAAAGACCTATGTGACATTCATACAGCGTCATAGAAAGATGAGTGTGCTGTTTTTTTAGTGTGTGTGATTTAGTGTGTGTGTGTGTGTGTGTGTGTGTGTGTGTGTGTGTGTGTGAATATGCATGCTTGTGTGCACATGCTTGTATGTGTGCATGTATGTACAGGCCAGATGTCAAAGTCCTGTGATCTTCTGTCATTCTCCACCTATGGAAAACTCAGGTTGTAATGCCTGTGTGGTCTGTTATGATCTCTGGGTAGCTGCCATTTCTTTTGGAGTTCTTCTTTCCCTTTTCCCAGATAGAATTCACACGCCATATAACTCACTCATTAAAAGTACCCAGTTCTGACTTCCAGTAGAGATATGGAGTTGTGCAAACATCTTTACAATCACTTAGGATATTTTTATCACACCCCAAGGAAATCTGTTACTAGTTACTCTCACGTTCCCAGACCGTTCCCAGTTCTAGGCAGCAAGTAACCTACTTCCTCTCTGGATTCGCCTCTTCTGGTGTTTCATGGAAGTGGAATATAATGTGTGCTCTTTCCAGACTGATATCTTTTTCACTTAACATAATGTTTCCAAGAGTCTTGTTTTTAAATTACTAAATAATGCCGGGCGGTGGTGGCGCACGCCTTTAATCCCAGCACTCGGGAGGCAGAGCCAGGCGGATCTCTGTGAGTTCGAGGCCAGCCTGGGCTACCAAGTGAGCTCCAGGAAAGGCGCAAAGCTACGCAGAGAAACCCTGTCTCGAAAAACCAAAAAAAAAAAAAAAAAAAAAAAAATTACTAAATAATGTCTTGGTGTATAACTGGTGGATATTTCAGGCACTTCTGCTTTTTATCCATTATTAATAATACTTCCATGACACTGGTATATAAATTTGATGCAAATTTAAGTTTTCATTCTTCTTCTATCTACCCAGGAGTAGAATTGCTGGGTCACTTGGTAACTGTGGTAACAGTGGGGTGCTGCCTGTTTTCCCAAGCACTTGCACACTGATATGTAAAGTTCACCAGTGTATGTAAAGTTCTGTTTTTACCCATAGCTACGTTTTCTGTTTTGTGATTGTGGTCCTCATAGTGGGCGGCTTTGCTTTGTATTTTCCTACTGGCTAGTGATAGTAGAAATCTTTTCTTGTGCGTGTGTGTGTGTGTGTGTGTGTGTGTGTGTGTGTGTGTGTTTTGTGTGTGTAGTGTGTATGTGTGTAGTATTGAGAACTGAACACAAGGCCTCACATATGCTGACTTAGCATGTATCACTGATAGCCCCAGCTCCTTTTATATTATTAAAAACAGTTTAAATTACATTTATTTATTTACTTTGTAGGGGAGGGAACATTTATATGCTGTGGCCGCATGTAGAGGCCAGAGAACAACCTTCAGGAGTCAGATCTCTCCTTCCACCATGTGAGGTCCAAGCATTGAACTCAGGTTGCAGTGTTAGCAGCAAGCTCCTAACCCCCTGAACCATCTCACTGGCTCAGCACTTGCTGTTTTGAGACTAAGTTACTTAGGCTGGCTTTGAACGCTCTTTGCAGCCCAGAAAGGCCTTGGGGTCGGAATCCTCCTGCTTTCAGCTTCCTCAGTGGCTGGGATTACAAGCTTGTGTTACCAGGCCCAGCATATCCCCCCCCCCCCCCCCCCCCCGCTTTGAAATATCTGCTCAAATCCTTTGCCCACCTTTCAGTTGGGATGTCTTGTATTATGAAGTAGTAAATTTACTAAAGGAACTTTATGTTCCTGATACAAGTGACTTATTTTTTTCCACGTTGTAGACACTTGACTGAGAGTACCCCTTTAAGTGCAGAAGGTTTTACATTGGTTGAGACTGTCACCGGGTCTTTCTCATTGTTCTAGGAGGTCATGGGTATTAGTGTTCATTGAGGACTGTGGACCCCAGGCACTGGGCCGGCCACTGGGAACCCAGCTCTGTCACCTGTGATACCTCCAGATCAGCTTCCGAGTTTCTTTCATCTCCTCAGGGGTTCTGGGTCTGATATGATACTTCTCTTTCCTTTATGCAAAATAAGGGTAAATATGCCAATCAGAATCAAGTGGAAATGTTTTCAGGATTGATAACTATAATCATCCAGTTAAAAACTTAACAATAGTTCAGCAGGTTATTTGGGGTCTATGAAGGATTTTAGGACCCTGAGAACCTGGGCTGTGATGTAATAGCGTAAATGACTTTCAGTGTTAACATTAAAAGATTAAAACGACCAGCATTTTTACCTGGAAAACTGCTGAGGAGGTTTTCAGATGTTCCTGTGTTTTGTTGTAAATTGTGCAGTATTCACTAATCGTATCACATTAGAATTTTCAAAGTAATCAGCCAGAGGTTGCACATACTTTACTGACGCCGCAGTCAGTGAAGCAGCCCTTTTAAACGACATGCCTGCTGAGATGATTGTCTTTCCCTCAGGTAGAAGATGCCTGCTCTCCGCAGCATACGTGGACAGCCACCAGTGGGAAGCCAGAGAGAAGGAGCAGTGTCACCTGGGTAGGTGCCGCCTCGTGGCCTGTCATTGTGGTCGGTCCACACGCTCGCATCATTCGCTCACATAAGCATACACGAAAAGGTACTTTTGGTGACTCAGCTCACGGAAGTACATCTTAAGTCCTCTTTAGGGAAGTGTGCCCACACACGGCAGCATCCCCTCTGCCAGCCCCTGTATTCTCCATGCCGTCTTCGTTTACTCTCTGCCTTGACGACCACACTTCCGAGGTTGTGTAAGCCATTCTTTGTTGCTTTTGTTCATTGTACCGTGTAGTTTTCACGCAGCCTGTCTCTGTTGTACAAAATTTTATACTTTCACTTTTTTTTTTTTTTTAATTTTCAACCCCATTGTTTTCTTAACTTCTACGTCATTGCCAAGTGAGAGATCTGGAAGCAGACTTGCCATCTCCTGGAAGCCATGAAGAGATAGTGAGCGTCTTCCCAGGAGTAAGCTCACGCTCACCCCCATTCCCCTTCTTCCTTTCTCATAGTTCACAGATAGCGGCCTTTCTTGTATACATTACCAAGGCTCAAAGGAGTCACTGACCCCACCAGCACATTTTATGAATGTACGAGCACACTTCTGACTGTCCTGCAAGACTTAGAACGTCGCTGGGACACTGCGGGGTGAACACACGGGTGGAGGGTTATGAGACTGGTGCCGTGCGCACGAATCCCAGGGTCGACCTAACCTCACCCCACCCTGTGCCTGTGCCTCTGTTGGACAGGAACAGAGCCCTCCTTTGTGATGGATTCTTCACAAAGTGCAGGGACATGGCTGTCAGTTCTGGCTCCCTTCTGGATGTTTCAGAATGATCGTGGTCTCCCCGAGAATGTGAGTTGCAGAGTTGGCCAGCCGCTCTGGAATGGGTGCATGGTCAGGGCCAGCCAAAGCAGAGCTGGGCAGGGGGTGAAGGTGAGTGATTAAGGGAACTTCCATAGGGAACTTACAGTCTCGACTCTGGCTTTAAAGGATTGGCCCAGCCTTTTAAATCAGCACTATATAGTATCTTGAGATTAAATTCAAAGCTAATATAATGCTTCTATATGTAATACTTTAAAATTTATATAGTTACCATAATATAAAAAAGAAACAAAAACGAAATAATTTGGTGTCTAGTAGTACTTCAAAAAGTACTGAGATATTTGGGCCTCACCGAGGATTAGGAAGTAGCTACCTGCTTGCATTCTCCATGCATAGCATTGATAAAGGACGGTGGGCGTGGACACAGATGTACTGTCCTGGCGAAGTCAGACACGCCATGTGGCCCTAGAGTGACAGTTACATTTACAAAGTGGACAGTTTTTGGTAAAGCTCTGGATAACACAGAAGTCTTCAGTCAGTTTGCATTGAAGATGCACTAATGAAAAATGCAGCTTATTTTTAATTATGAAAGAGAAGTACTTTGTGTTTATGTGTGGAACGAAATTAGTTCCATTAATTAGAAACAGGTTTTTAAGTAGTAAAAATGTCTCTCACTGAACTTACAGGTCAACAATCCCAAGCAAGCTTCCCCTCTGTACCCAGCACCCCAGTAATAGGGTTATAGGCCTGCATGCAACCGTTTGGGGCTTTTATGTGTGTTCTGGGGATCACACTCAGGTTTTCACGCATGTGCAGCAAGCACTCTTACTGAGCCATATCCCAGCCCCAGGAAGTAATTTTCAACTTAGAGAAAATTAGCAAGTCCCTCCCTACCCTTTGCCCATATTCACTGTTTGTTACCATTTTGATGTATTTGTTTTTGCTTTCTCATTCTGTCGTGTGTGTGTGTGTGTGTGTGTGTGTGTGTGTGTGTGTGTGTAACCTATTGTGCCCCTGTCAGAAAGGTATGCACATGCTATATTTTTTTAATTATCTGAAAGTTTGTTTCACACAATCTTAAATTCTTCAGCATGCATTACCCAACATGTTAAATACCATAGCACATTTATTGAGTTTATTAATTAATGCTTTTTTTCTTTTTTGTCATTTGACTCCAAAAATGTCCTTTATCACGTTTTTCCTCCTCTAATACAGGATGCATTCCAGGTTCACATTGCATTTAAATCAAGTCTTCTTTAATTTGAAATCATTCCTTATCCTTTCTTATTTCGTATGACCTCCTTATCTCTTTTTTAAGGTGAGATTCCAGTTTTGCCTCCCCCAGACTCCTCTCTGTCATGGCGACCCTGTCAGGGTGTGTCCTCTGGACACAGCCCATGTCTGCATGATTCCACTAACCAGGTCAGCTCTGGTCTCCCAGTCACATGCGTCTGATTTCCCCACTGCGGCGTTGACTGGTTTGTTTCCCTCTTGACTAGTAGGATAGGATGTAAGTAGGGAGACATTTAACAGAGTGATGATTTCCTGCCGCTTCTCGAGTCTTCCCTTAGCTTTTTTTCCCCCTTCATGCTTCCAGCCTGAGTTGGTCTGTACTGTGAAGGCTGCAAAGGGATGATTTTCCAACTCCCAGAACCCCGCCCCCCCCCATACTTACTGGTTAGGACTCCGTGTTCTCCTTAGGCAACAGACCTTGCTTCCTTTTGATCATCTTTCTCAATTGTTGTCATACGTTATGTTGACACTTTGTTGATCTCTGGGACTTTTTTAATGGTTCATTGCTGTCATTAATTATTTGGAAATCCGGGTGTCCCATGCCTGCCTGGCTAGTAGTGTAAACGCTTTCCAGTCAGTTTCCACACTCTCTTTCTCATCCCTCAACAGTGTGTTGTAGGCTTATCTTGTATCTTCCCTTCCCTGGCCCTGGACTCAGCCCTCACTTGGGAACTCCCATTCCTTTCAGTGGGGAGTGCTATCAGAAGCCGGATCTGGGTGTTAGGTGTCACTTGATTCTTACCCAGAATGCTAAGTTTCACCCCAGTGCCTCTGCTCTCCATCCGTCTGCACGGTTTCCCTGGCCTTGCTGCGGTCTCCCCTCTATGCTCAGATCTTGGCTCCAGGCAGAGGCAGGGTTTTGTGGGGAGAGGCACAGCACTGCGTGCTGTACCAGTTCTGTCTTCTGTCCAGAAAGTGCCAGCTCTGCTTTCCAGTCATCGGGAAAGTCAGAAATAACCTACACATTGTTAAAATGCCCTCTGAGGTCAGCTGTTCTCTGAGAAGCCACTGGCCTAGTGATAATTCCAATGTAGCTTCAAGTATTACATAGTAAAGATTGTTCTCGTGTGCCATACATGAATTATCCACAGTGCTGTGGAAATACGAATAAAAGAATGAGGCATTCTGGGAAAGCTTTTTAGACATTTTCCTAGGTACAGAGGAAAGATGAGGGAATGGAGACAGCCTCTGTTTGTGTCTCGTTAGGTATAGTTAGAGCTGTTTTATGGACACAAGTCAAGGGATCTTTGTCCTGGCACATGAATAAACAAGTTGCTTACCAGAGAATGAGGATGATCATCTGTGACAGATAAATATCATGGGGGACAATTGTCTGTTAAGAGCAATCCTTGGGAAAGCAGAGTAAATGACTGAACACCTCCAGTCACTGTTGCCCTCTGCCTCCAGTTCCTTGATAGATCCAGTCAGAACTGTGTTTTCCTACTCTTTTGTTTGTTTTTGTTTTTTAAGACAGGGTTTCTTTATGTAGCACAGGCTATCCTGGAACTTACTCTGTAGATAAGGCTTGCCTGGAACTCACAGAGATCCACCTCCCTCTGCCTCTCACCACCTGGCAAGTTTCCCTACTCTTTATCTAGCTTTGTGCCTTCCTTAAAAAGCGTGATGTCGATTCTGCACCTAAGAGGCTGGCTTGTGGATTTGTGCCCCAATTCTACCACTTTGAGCTGTCACTGTCCACGTCTGTAGCTATAAATCGGGGATGTGTGGTGTCTGCCTTAGTTCTTAAACAGTCATCTTAGAAATAGGTGGAATGAATGAGTCCCTGGGTCCTTTGTCATTTAATGGAAATAAAGTTGGAATTCAGAAAGTAACGGCTGCGGCTTCTGGTTCCTACAAGCACCTTTTCCTGTGTGGCACGACTGCTTGCTTTCCTGAGCTCCCGTGGCTGCATCCCCGCCGATCAGGCAGTAGATGGCGGTGTGGTGCTTGCGAGAAATGCTCTTCCTTCTGCGCTGGGCGCGGACCTATCGGGGAGCGCGCGCTCATGTGGAGCGCCGTGATTGGGCATCGGGATGGGAGGGCCGTGAGGTGCTCCGGTCAGGCTCACTGATTGGAGGAGGAAGGAAGACCGATATGAGGCCTTTGCTCCTGTGGTCCTTATTGGCGCGGTGGCCGGTGTGGCGTCTTTGGCACCGCCCGCCGGCCCTGGAGAGGCTGCTTCCAACGTGCCTGTGGTCCTTGGGCGTTAAAATGCTGCGTTTCTCTTCTTGAAAGTTGCTTGTTGTATTGCCTTGTGTATTCCAAAAGATGCACGGATCATATGCAATGAATTACCACAAAGTGAGCACACCTGCGTAGGAAATGGAGCCGTCTTCACGTTCTGTAGGCCGGCTTGTGTCGAGCTGTCTCTGGAAACACCCGAAATCCTGATTTGCACAGGCTGCTTTATAAAAGCATTTTACATCAGAATTTGTAAACCAAGAGAGCAATGTTGTAAAGAACTCCCATCACCCACCTGCTTTCAGCAATTATAAGCACATAGCCTTTTTCTCTATTTCTGCACCCCTTCCTAATCCTTTGGATTATTTTAAGGCAGGTCCAGGAAGCAAATAAAGGTGTGTGTGTGTGTGTGTGTGTGTGTGTGTGTGTGTGTGTGTGTGTGTGTTGTATATTTCAAAAAGATCGGGATTTTTTTAAAGCCATTGTTATATATGAAATGATCTGCTTTTGGGATCCCTTGCTGGCCAGGCCCTGAACTCAAGAGATCCATCTGCTTCTGCCTCCCAAGTGCTGGAACTGAATGTTTGCACCACCACGCCCGACTAGTTTTTGATATTCTTATAAATATATTTTAATGGCCTAATTGAACAAGGACCTAACTGAAGCAAGCCAATAAAGTTGGTTGTACTTCTCTTGACTCTTTAATACAATATTTTTGTAGAAA